ACGCGTCGGTGAGAGCAGTTTTGCTCTATGCTTGTGAAACCTGGTCTCTCAGAGTTGAGGACGTTAGACGACTCTCTGTGTTCGATCATCGCTGTCTCCGAAGGGTTGCTGACATCCTGTGGCAACACCATGTTAGTAATGAAGAGGTTCGGCATCGTGTGTTCGGTCACAGAGATGATAATTCAATTGGTGTTACCATCTTGAAACACCGACTTCGGTGGCTTGGACATGTTCTCCGAATGTCGTCCCAGAGAATTCCACGTCGTGCATTATTTGCAGATTCTGGGACTGGTTGGAGAAAGTGGAGAGGTGGTCAGTGTATGACATGGTGTCGTGGCATGAAAGAAAGCTGCAAAGGACTGGCTTCTGTTAGTCCTTCACGGCTCCCTGGTTGGGGTCTGAAAGATGGTGTAACACAGTGGCTAGAGACGTTATCAGATATGGCTCAGAATAGAAGCCAGTGGCGATTCTGCTGTAACCTTCTTTTACTTTCTTCATAAAAAGTGGTTGTGTCTCCCTTAACTGAAAGATTTCTTCTGATTGTACCTTTCCGTTCCTTCATTATTACTACACTACCTTACACCAATCTCTTCGTTATTGTTTTCTTTTTTTTATGCTCCTTACCTTTTTTTCTCTCTTCGGATTCTCATTGTTTTGTGTGGTGCATATATATTGGCGCTCTCTTGTACCAATATTTGTGTTCAAATAAATAAATAATCTTTTTAAGTATAAAGTAATATCAGTCAATCTGTTAGTGACAATCAGAAAAGTCCATAACTCTTATGGGTAATACTATAGAGATTTGATTTAATGATTTAAAAAGAATCGAACTTTGGACAGATTGTGTATAATAATAAATTAATAATATGTTTGTAATATTCTAATAAATATAAGATTGAATTTATGAAGTTTCACAACGTAGTGTGTCACTACTTCACAGGATAAATAATTAACTTTTCAAAATGAAACATTTACAAAGAAAGTTATCTGTTCTTTGAAGGGGCTAAACATCCCAAACTCAATTTTTGCTCATGAGAATGATTAGATCATTAGTCTCAGCTGATATTAGTTTCATCCCTCGAGTGTGATAATTAGGCACTTTTACCACTTGTTTTTTTAATTGTATTATTATTTCAATTCATTGCGGTAAATAATACTATCAGTTCATCAACCTATCACTTTTATGATAGATCTTAAAAACAAAAAGATTATTTACTACGACAAATAAATGCTTTGATTCAAGATTTTTATCACCTGATAAGTTATCATTTACTCATTCATCTAGCATCTTTGGCAGATTTTTTATTACGGTCAATACCGCAACGAGCATCAACTTAATCGGCTATTTTTTGTATTGCATATTATATATGTCTTTTTAATTACACTGAACAGATTTTACTAAGTACCTCCTCAAAATTCCGTGCCAACTATTTATTGAAAGTGTGCTTATCGCCATAAATTTCCTTATTTTATTTAGTTTAGTTAACCAATTACGCATGATAACCACCTGTACATGCATCTATCCATAGAATGTACACAACCTATGGGGAATCTAATTACGGTAAAATTCAAGAATCACTACGGTAGTTGGTTTGTCCTATTTGTTCGTCTTTTAGAGAAATAAGTGGAGATAATCGGAGAATAATATGTAATCGAAAGAAATGTCAAATCTTAGTGATATCATGATTATTGACAGAACTTGGGACCCTGTGTTCAATGTTTCAAGTTTGTAGATGTGCATCATAGAGGATTTTTTTAAAAACTAATAAAAAAACACCAACTCAGTGATCATTAAATTCCTCCACCTACACAGCTTACATAAACTTGCGAGGAAAAACTATATAAAACTAAAAAAAATGACTCGGTCGACTGATGAATAAAAATAACTTGACACATCCTACACTTTGCCAAGTCAATAAAAACTTAAATTACAATTGAATAGTGTAGTGATAAGCAGTTTAACCTAACACACAAGTTATCTGACTTCATTTCAAAAGTTTACTTGCAAGTAGACTGATAAATATGTAACTTATTTCTTAAGATTATACAATTATGTTACCTAATAAAAAATACTATGTTATTTTAGTATTAGTTGGACAATACATACTTTATACACATACATTTTGAATACATATTAAACTTTCAAAGAATGCCATACCATTCATAATTTAAATTATATTAAACAAGAAGAATCGATTAGAACATTATACACTCCAGATTGAAAACTTAATATTAGTCTACAAGCTAACTGATACAAAATTAATATATTGAATATTTATTATTCGTTTTAATTTGGCATATTATAAACATACACATACGCATTATGTATATAATATATATGACCTTAGATTTAATAAATATTAGTCAGAAAACAAAACAAAATAGGAAGGAAAACATTTAATCTGCATTTATACAAACTTAACAGTAAGTTTATATTATTATTATTATTATTGTAGGTGTTGTTAACAATATGTTTTAACATGTTTTAAAAAAAGCAGTATCCATTAGTTTAGTTCATACACTGAAATAAATATTGGTATCTGACTATTTTGTCATGGTTTCAACTTATCACTTATGTTGACACAATGAATAAAGATAGTCGTGTTTTACCTTGAACATGATTGGAAGTAAATAGATGAGAGTATTTTGGTAATGAATTAATCGATTGAAAATAATCCCTGTTAGAACGTAGTTATATTTAAAGTTAAAGCAGGTTATAGTGTGTTTTGATCAGCATGTGACTATATATAAACTAGTAATAAGATAATGGACAAGAGATTGAGAGTAAGCATTTAGTCGATATTTTCAATATAACAAAACAGGTATAAAATGTGAACATTTCAATTTAGGTTTCTACACTAAACAGAACTACATTGTTAAATAGGAAATTTATTTTTTTCCAGTATGATTTCGATATGATCAAATCATTCGCGTAACTAACCTCAAATCCTATATTAATATCAAGCGCCCATTTAATTCGCTGGATAACTGCGGTCTCGCATACTTGACCATGTTTGTCAAAAGAAAGCGGTATTTATGCTTTGATTCTAAACACTACAAGTGCTATTTATCATCAATAACTGAATTGTCCGTAGCACCGATGGAAACCGCAACCACTTGAACGTCCATTTGGAGTCTCCTAAACAGTAGGTGCCCAAAACGCTGCACGAGATCAAAATGAAGACAGTCAGGCATTGAAATCAGCACAAAACTATTGTGTTGAAGAGCACTGGTAAACAATTCCCAACTTCGGTCAATATTTAAAAAAGGACAGTCTTCGTTCAGTGCGATCGATAGTATATTAATTTACTCTTAATGCAACTGATTACAAAAGTCCCGACTTCTTATGAACTTTAGATTTCATTTTGTAACAAATGACAAACGGATTTAGATCTCATTGCCGACATGCAATTGCGTCCTTACAAGTATTTACTATAAGTGGTACTGTTTGAAGTCATTTGTTAAGACAGTTCTGAAATAATAATCTGCTCCAGTACGATTCAAAATAACCCAGACTAAATTTTAGATTCGGTTTCCCATTATTAAAAGTACTGGTGAGTAATGCAGGTCATTAGGAATTCATGAAATTGATCAAATTACGTCCTTCAGAAATTTAAGTTATCTCAACCGTCGTCTCTTAGGTAGGAATTTCAGAAAATTGAGAACAGGGGCTTGATAAAAGTATGCCCACATAAACGAGGCATGGTAATGTCACATGACAAACTTCGTAACAAAATACCCACTAAATACTGTGTTACGTCAGTTGATTAATCAGGTGACCGAAGTGTCAAAGCAATATAAATATTGGCTAGCAATAACTCAAAATATAAACGGTTGTTTATCATAATTATCTCGATTGGTTGTATACTTTGATGTTTAAGAGTAAATATAAACTATGAATATTTATTATTCGAATAAAAGATTGAATATAACATTGCTGTTTTTGTGTTATAGAATCAGGATCTATACTCAGTAACACAACGTTGACTACAACTCCATAGCAATATTTCGAAAATTCAACAGTGAAATAGTATTGTAATTAGAAAGATCAGCTCTAAAACTACGTAGAAGTCACATTGTTGCAAACTATTGTTTGCTTTTCTTATAAAGATATATTTTTTTGTTTCTCATCAAAACTGGGACTAATCGAGTAAGAAATACAATTTAAGGGCAATACTTTTAGTTGTTGATATGGGTAAATAGTTTCACAGTGATTAGTCAGCATACAGTTATGTCCTAATGACAACTTTAGAAAGTGTACACAAGGGAAGCATGCTATATTAATAAAATACTTGGAATCTTCTCATATACGATATACAGCAGACTGTTTTTTTCCAAATTGCCTCCTACCACGTACAAGTTTTATGCACTCAACTTTGGGTCTAAATTTACTTACTTGAAGGTTAGTGATAATGTCTCCCGTCACCAAATAACATGTAGGACGGTTCAAATTTGAGACTTAATTGTTAAGTGAATGCCTAAATTTCCGATGTAAATGTCATATTTCAATATACCTAATACTCACTAGCTACGACAAACGCAACCGCTGGTCACCTCATTACTACTAGTTTCTATGCTTATTTTTACGAAAGGTACGAACTTATGTGACTGTAGGCATTTTATTTTCAAGTTTAATTATGGTAGGTCAACGTTCACAGATCAGTAAGACAGTGAAAAATCTCAATAACGTCTAGTAAATCAGTGATGAAGTAGCAGTATCTGGCTACATTTGTTGCTTGACAAATAACCTATAGGGAAAATATTTCTGAATGTTGTATTACAATTGTACAGTTCCTGACAGAAACCAATCATAGTAACTGACAAGTTGAAAAAAACATTGGAATTATTTCTATACCGATACATTAGTTCACTGATTTTGCATTTGATATACGATAATTAACAGGTTTAAATCAATGAACTAAACCAACTGGTATATCCACAAATATGTGAAAATGTTTGTTACGGACTTAGATCCAAACAAAACCGAGGTCAAATTTACTAAAGAACAATAGTTTTCAGAAATGACCGGCAACTGACATTACTTAGGATAACCGAATGCAATATATCCAAACAAAAAACAAGTTATTTTGAAATAACGATTAAACTGGGCGAAAAGACAAAATGGCCATCAATTAGCAATCTTTATACTTAAGACAACAATCGAACCGCATAATCTGATCATTAAATTAGTTGGAGTATAAAAATGGCTTGAATTCTGTTGAAGTTACTAAGTTGTAAAAAATCTCACTATTCCATACAATGTATTTTAGAATTCATGTACAATTCAATGAAACATATGCGTCATGAGAGGAGCAATCTCAAGTGGTTAAAGTGAATCTATAAAGTAAAGGACAATATTTCATAATTATGTAACGGTTTGTAAGATAACGTATTATGCACAGGTGTTCTTACTAGACCTGTACTTTTGTATTTAGCTGGAAATATTTCTCATTAAGCATAAATTAGTTAATCAAGATATTCAGTTTTAAGGCGTAGTGTCACGGATTCAAAATAGTTCATTACGAAATCACTGAAACAGCAAATTGTTTTTCCTAGATATAAATACGATTAAAATATTTCAAATCCTATGAATGCTAACTAAACACAGTTATGATATTTACTTTCACTAAATGTTCACAATAAATCTTTATAGAGATTCAGATTAAATGTAATAAATTAAAGAGTAATATGTAAATAAATTTCGGCTAGCGGTTAAATAACACTATGATAATGCTTTGCGTTCGTAAGATTTTTCAACGATTTACCGTTTAAGGAATTATACACAATAAAAATGTATCATGATTCTGATTTAGACAATAATCCCATGAGTTAGGATACAACAGTGGTTGTTTTCGGATTTGCGAATAGAAAAATTGATATACACCTAACTGAATATCTAAAAAGAATATCGTTCACAACAAATAAAATTTCCATCGTAAAAAATTCAGTCTTCAGGCATATTCAATAACCAAACAAAAAATTCTATTGTAATTAGATTAAAATAATATTATTCAGAATATAATAATAAACGTCAAAAAAACAAGTTCCGAGTATACTGTTTGTCGACACGATGTTACAAGGAGAGCCATAGACTCGTAAGCACATAACCAAGAACACTAAGCTGAACAACTGAACAAACTTTAGATGGAGATACGAATGAAATGAGACATTAATGAATTAGATGAAATCAACAAAAAATATGGGCTGAGTTGGAAGGAAGAACGGAAAACGATCGAATTTTCAAGACTTTAAAGTACAAAAAAGAGGAATAGCATGTCATATTCCTGATAAAAACTAAACAAATTTATATATAACTCATACACTGTTAAACCACAATAATGATTCATATCTGATAAAGGAGAAAAAGAGTTGAGGACTTTATAAATGAGAAATTCTCTGGAGTAAAAGACTGATTGGTGTTTATATAATTGAATATTCACAGTATGAGAGAGGAAATTAAAATTTCATACAGTGTTATTCCACATACACTTGTGTTAGAATGCTAAAAATTCTATTTTCCGAGATGGAAATTAGTGAAGAGAAGTGTTTCTTCTTTTATTATGTTAGAAAATATTCAAGAACTGATATCTCCTTGAGACAGTGGGATTATGTAAATTTTTTGAAGTACCGAACAAACAGTTCAGTAATCAAAACATGTTTGTGGACCATTAATACTAATGATCAGACATTGTAAAACAATGATTATTATCATTAAAAAGCTATATAGCAATTCGAATGAAGGCAGGATCACACACATACAGAAAAACTGAACAAAAAATAACAGATAAGACTTAATCAAGTGAAGTTATCGAGTGGTTAACAATTGGCAAAAAAAGGATAAATGATAAGTAAGGAAAAAGAAAACTCCAACGATCAGTAAGGAAAATTAATATAAGAGCATAATATAAAACAGGGGAAAACACCATTAATATCTGATGACTGTATATCTTTATGCAATAACAATTATCAAATTATTTCAGTTAGCCGTTATTTTAAATTTAGACAAAGCTGTATTATAGTAATATATATGACCACAGAGACATGAAAATGGAAATGGAAACAAATACAAGCAGGTGTGTAGTAGGCATCAATGTAATTTTATTGCTAGTGTTTCTTCTTTCTGGAAAATGATGGCATTCGGAAGCTTCCTTTCTTTTTGATCTTTTTCTCAAGCGTTTTACTTCCCTAAATATTAATCGAATTATACGGAACAAAATTCATTATTACTGATTAAAGAGAGTAAAACAAAAAATACCATATATCGAAATACAATTATTTGTTCACTTCTATGTAAAAGTTTATGCCTAAATAAAACATAATTCCTAAAATTTCTCAAAACTGGAATAATTTTTGTTCAGAAAAAAACCGACGCAATAATTATCCGATCTTTTATCGTATTACTGCATTCAACTAGAATATACTAAACTAAACCAATACCACGAGGACGTGAACAGTAACACTAGCTTCACATGCTATAACTACCAATAAAATTACATAACTGCTAATAATAATGGCAACACAACAACAATTCGTAAATATAAATACATGCAAAATATGGAGAAAAAAGGTGGAAATAACCTCAACATTATTATTCAAAAGATCACCATCAACCGATTGGAGGGTATTTGAGTTTGACATTACAGCTGAAAAAGGAAATAATGAAAAGTGCGTCAACATTGTTATTGGATTAAATAAATATTCCATTCATACGTAAAACTATATTACCTAAAGTTTAATTGCTATTTTAACTAATTAACACTGCATGGAACACCCAAACTACTATCGGTCCCAAGAGTGGGTAAACAAAAAGGATTAGACAAAATATGACCAAGACTAACAACGCGAAAAAGGAGTTCCAATATAAAATCATTGACCTGGGAAAACAAGAAGTAAAATAAGCGCCAATAGAAAAGCAGAACCACAGCGCAAGGATCATCAAACCATATTTCAAAGAAAAGGGTTACAATGAATTCACTCAGTGCTTGGCACGCATCAATGATGACAGTAAAGACAATAAAAGAAGATTTATGAGAAGCTGCAGTCCACCGTAGAGAACTAAACAGGAAAAGCCATGACCACCTTGACGAATGACATGAACTCCAAGACAAACATGGACAACATAGGGTACTAAGAAGTCATGAAACTAAATAAATTTAAAAAAAGAATCAAGAATGACCAGAGGCTTATAGATCTGTTTATTTTCAATAACACTATGGTAGCGTAGTTGTACTTGCCCTCACAAATACAAACACAAAATTACATGGGAACACACTACAGAAACAAGACAAATCACATTTACATCAATAAAAAGTTCATGAGGTTCATGAAAGTCATAGGAACAAACAAAGAAGCTTATACAGATTCAGAACAACACCTGGTGGTGCCCTGGTTGAAACTGAAACTGGGAAACACCGGGTAGTTAGACAAGCAGCAATATAAACGTTTAGTATGGTCATCCTTCGAGACACTGACAAACTCACTGAATTCAAGGTAGCTCTCAGCATTAAGTTACAAGCCTTACTAGATATGCTCGAAAAAACGGAAACCACCATAGCGGATAACTAGAAAAAGATTAAAGAAATGATAACACCAACATGTCAGGAGGGCCTGGTTACAATGAAGCACCAGAATATAAAGTTAAACTCTATTAATAACCTAGGCATCATTCAAGAAAGGAAAAACAAGAAGACGGCAGTCGACAACAGCCGAACAAGAACAGAGGAACCCAAGTCAAATGCGGAATTCACAGAAGTAAACAAGCGAGTAAACGACAGAATTAGAGGTGATAAGTGGAAATATCTAGAAGGCCTGGCAACTACAGAAGAACGAGCTGTAAGAGAAGAAAATATGAGAGAACTATATTATGCAATAAAGAAGCTCGCAAGAACAAAATACGGCAAACCAGATATACTAGTCAAGGGCAAAATGGCAACCAATCATTTGGGTTCAGAAGCAGCAGAACTGATCGGTAAAGCATTTTTAAAAGAGTTCTTGAATAGACCAGTACCTCTGAGTCCATTAGATATCGAAGCCACACAAACAAACCTCCTAATGGATTACATCGTGCCAATACTGGAAATCAGCAAAGCCATTCAAAAAACCAAAAATGTCAAAGCAGCAGAACCAAACAGTATGTCAGCTGAAGCATTGATTTTATTTATTTATTTGAACACATATATATTGGTACAGGAGTGCGCCAAATATATATGCGCCACACAAAACAATAAGAATTTAAGATGAAAAAAAATGAGGAACGTAAAAAATTTTTTAAAAAAAAACAATAATGAAGAGATTGGTGTAAGGGAGTGTACTAATAATCATAGTTATAATGGGGGAAATAGAAATGTATAACCAGAAGAAATCTTTCAGTTAAGGAAGAAACAACCACTTTTTATGAAGAAAGTAAAAGAAGGTTACAGCAGAATCGCCACTGGCTTCTATTCTGAGCCATATCTGATAACGTCTCTAGCCACTGTGTTACACCATCTCTCGGACCCCAACCAGGGAGTCGTGAAGGACCAACACAAGCCAGTCATTTGCAGCTTTCTTTCATGCCACGACACCATGTCATACACTGACCACCTCTCCACTTTCTCCAACCAGTCCCAGAATCTGCAAATAATGCACGACGTGGAATTCTCTGGGACGACATTCGGAGAACATGTCCAAGCCACCGAAGTCGGTGTTTCAAGATGGTGACACCAATTGCATTATCAGATATGGGAGTAACTGCGAAGATGAGTCACGTCCTCTTCGCAGATTTAGAATGGAAAACAAGTAGTAAGAGACTGGACAGACAGATACCTCATCAAGATACTGAAGAAATGAGATCGTGATAATTGTGAGAATCGCAAACAAATCAAACTACTGTCAGTACCAGTTAAGAGTCCAGCAGATTGTTGCTGAACAAATGAAAGATTTAGATGTCCAAATTCGAGATTAATAAGCTAGATTTCGTTAGGATATATCACGTACCAACCAAACTGATATAATTCGCATCACTATTAAACAACTAGTTGAATTCAACTTATAGCTAGTTATCAACTTCCTCGATTATGAGAAATTATTTGACATAGTGAATCGGAAAACCGTATGGAATATTTATCGGCACTGTGGAGTACCTGGGTAGATCACCAGTATCATACGGAACTTTTGTGAGGGACTGAATTGTGAAGTCGTGGATGAAAGGCAGCTCACAGATGCGTTCCAAATGAGAACTGGTATCAGACAAGTTTGTCTACCTGTCTTTCCATTTACTCCTGGTTTTTGACTGGATAATGAAAGTCTCCACATCTCAGAAGCACGGATTACAGTGGTCGCCTTGAACGCAACTGGATGATTTGGACTTTTCAGATAACCCAGCCCTTCTATCTCATACATAGTAATAAATGCAGGCGAAGACAGACAGTTCAGAGGCAGCCTCTGAAGCAGTAGGCCTCAACGTTCACAATGGACAAGATACTGAAGCATAACACAGAGAGAAACAATTACATCACGCTTAACTACAGAGCTCTGGGAGCGTTGGAAGCATTTATGTAGCTGGATAGCATCACTGATAAACGAGAATGTGACGCAGACGTGAAGCCATAGATTGGCAAAGCATGGGCAGGAACAGAACACCTGGAACTCGAAATAACTGAGAGCCAATAGCAAAGTCGGAATTTGCAATAAAAATGTTAAAAGTTTTATTGTACGGAGTCGAAACTTGGAGAATTATCGCAGTCATAATAAAAAAGTACAGGTATTTATAAACAGCTGTCTTCACAAGATACTCCAGATCCGTTGGCCACAGGCTATCAGCAATAATCGCCTGGTAGACAACGAACTAGTTGGCAGTTTGAGAGGAGACTAGGATGTGGATAGGTCACGATATACAGAAATCACTAAAGGAGTACTAACATGACACATTTAACAAAAGAAAAAGAGGGAGACCGAAGAGCATGTGATACTGGAAATTGTACGTAGACATCAAGAGCAAACATAGCACTTGCTAACAAATAAGAAACAGAGTTACTTGAATATCCCTGGTCAACGACTTATCGCTCAGGAGGGTTACCAAGCTTGAGAAAACATTATACGATTGCTCCCCTAAATTTCCGGAATCCATCTGAAAGGGTTCTATCAAGATAACATAAGACGACGCAACCACATATTACAGACCACCCGTCAAACACTATTCTGGTGTAACAGTAAAATATCGAATCTCGTATTTCGTTTATTGAGAGTTGATTTGTAAACGAAAACAGTTTAACAGCAAAAAAGGTTAGAAAATCACCGTAGAATAACTGGAAACTAATCTCTTAAAGTCTAACAATAATCTAAAATTTAATCTGGAATATTGAAAATGACAAATTTGATAGATGTATTTCGAAAGTGTTGTTTCTCTATTCGAAAATTTGAATAAACGGCCTGATACATATACACACTAAAAACTCGATGTGTGATTTAAGTACTGCAAGACTATCCACAGAGAAATAATTGGGACCCAGCTACAAAAATCCATTTAGAGTCCAAGGTGACGATGTATCAAATATCAGTTATGAGTGAGTCTATAATCTGTATGAAAGGGTGTACAAATGTTATATGACGAAAACGTAACCAGATTAAAACGTCCATGTTTGATAAGAGAAAATAGTAAACCGAATCAAAATAATATGAATATTCAAGCCATATGTAAAGTGATGCATAATTACTCAACTTACACAAATGCTGTACATTGGCAGGTAGTGTTGCACTCTTATTTACACAGGAATCATTGATTCGTTTGTTCGGTGCTGGAAAAAGTACCAGATGAAATGATGAAAGTATGAAATAAAATAGATAACAAATGAACGAAAGTAAAATTTAGGATGAACAACCTTCAAAAGACCGCAAGAGTTCCTACTGAACGAACGATGTTCTCATTTAAATAGTTAAAAATAAAGCAATTTTTAAATTAGATGGGGTGGAATTCTACAAACTTTCAATAATCACAAAACGACGATGAGCAATATGGTGGTTCGCTGGTTGAGTTAATAAAATCCATTCAGTAACCGAGTATTGTAACATCAAATCAACAAAACACAAACATAACCAATTCACTAGTCTACCAAACCGTTTGAATATCAAATTTAAGAATACAGCTTCTGAACAAATCAGAATTCACACCATATTAAATCTGAGTAAACGCATGGGCTTATGGCAGATCAAAATGATGGGTCGCGCATACATAAACAATCACTTAAAGTTAAACATAATAAGTATAAGTGACTAGGACAAACATCGGAAGTATGAATGATGTCAGTCAGACATTGAGACTGAAAGTAAGTGTTGGTAATTATTATACACACCACATTTGAGGTTGAGTTACACTTATCACTATAAAAAACAATTTTACGGCTAAACTGACACATTACGAAAGATATACAATAAATAACTTTCTACCTCTACTGAGTGATTGGAAAAGCTTATTTAAACGCCAATATAGGCTGCAACGAAGTTTTACATAAAGCTAATCAGAAACAAGCACTTCAATGACCGATGTATAGGATTAAAAAAACATGTCTTTAGTCGTAAATTCATAAGAACAAGTGAAATAAAAATAAAAATTGATTAAGAATAATCGGAGATCATCATTGCACTGCAAAACATGAATCAAATATTGTTACAGTCAAGGTAGGAATCATATAAAACTAAGGTATTTAGCGTAACTAAACACATGCTAAATCAAACGCTATGTGATGTGTAATTGAAAGATAATGGAAAAAATTAAAATTTGGTTTAAAAAAATAACAAATCAGGCTTACTTAAACTATTGGATGCCGTGGTGTCTACTGAGATCGAGACCGAACCGTTATGGATTGAATAGTCAGAAACATCATGTGGACTTCGTATAGCAGGAGAATGGGAATCCCTTCCTACACGAGATGATGCGCTTCCGGGTTCAGATCGTCTAACAGGTGAACAGACAGGAGAATCCAAAGTAAACGGATGAGAACGATAGTCACCTGAACCTTTAGTTCCGGACAATTTCCGGGGCGAATCGATCATAGAGCTGGTTACTGTATATTATTTAAGCAAATCCACAACATAATGCGTGATATATCCATGAACGACAACAGAAGTTATGATTTTGAAAATAGCATGCAAAGATAGAAGGAATGAAGAGATAACAACGGCTACAAAAATAAGGACATTAAAGAATTTCTACTTATAAACGACGTAATGATTCACATGCAAATAAAAGGATCATAAGAAAGACCATATTTAGAATTACAAATTCCTCACATGCAATACGAATCAGAATTGTGAGTATATTTTAAATAGAATATCATTACTTACCCATACCGTTTTGTGGTGGTTCATTAGCTTTTGCTAACCACTGATTTCGTTGTGCATTTTTTTGGCGACTGGCACGGACATGATCAACAATTCTAAAAAAGGTAAGGTGCACATATAATAAAGAGTGAATAATTATCCACCAAAACCTATCTATAAGCAATCTAACAAAACAGATCTGACAATAAAACTACGAATTTGAACATATATTTTACGATTTCCATTTTACTAGCCATGTCTGAAAACAACAACAGTGAATTGTGTAGACGAATTAACCACGTTCTAATTATTACATACAGTTCCAGTGCTCGATTTTAAAATTCGCAACAATAGTTTATGTACTAACAATCTTCAACCAACGAACAATACAACTCTACTAGAGAAGCTAACAAACCTTTTTAACAGAAGTTATCTAGGCATTTTTCCATCGTTCAGCGCATTCAGAAAAATGTGTCAAATAGTTCGGATTCATTTTTTGCTTCAAGGTTAGTAAATTCTTTCGGTACCTTAAGTCGTATATATATATATATATATATATATATATATATATATATATATACAAAATAGAAACAAGTGAGTCTTAACATAAAACGGCAAAACTAGTTTGTAAATTAGATTGAGCAATCAATCTGTGATTACTAAGGATATCAATAGAAGACAATATTAAACAGATGACTTGGTAACTTTTAACTAATAACGATCTACGCTATTCATGAACGACCAATTTTGAAAATCATTCATACATTAGGACATATATATGTGACAAGAATTTTAAATTACCACAAGCTAAATAAATTTACCGAGAAAAAGGAAATGGGAACAGTAACATCAACGTGAATACAGGAATAATATTCGAGAAAGACTAACAAAACCAACTCCTACTTATAGCGAATAAGATAATTATATTCATTGGAAACCATTAAGAAAATCGTTTATTGCTAGAAACTAACCTAGACACTTGTTCAGCGCCCGCTGCCTCAGCTGCAGCTAAATCTTCAACTCCACTGAACTCATTAGTGGAAAAGTCCGTTGTCAGTAAATCAGCCGCTGTTATTTGGTCACCATATGTATCTCCTGGCCATGATGAACCAGGATGTGTGCGTCTCAGTAAATTAGGCTGACGATAAACATGACCAGTTCTGAAACCAGCACTATCCAGAACACGCATTTCAGCCTCAAATTCTAATTCTGCTGGTGTCCATGAAATATCTGTGAACAGAACAGAAAATAAATTACATTTACAATATCAATGCTTTTGGAAAGAAATTAGAAATCTTTCCTTTAATTGCAACACAATCTCTAGATACCATAACCAACTTTATTATGTAATTATTTTTTAAATTTTAGACCACGATGGCACGTTATTACTAAGCAAATTTTATTTAAGTTCGTATTTCGATAATCCTAATTTTCTAAATATTTTTTGATATAAGTCAGATCTTCTTTGTTATTTCGGGCGACACTGATAATGTGTAGCAAAAAGTGGATACCCTCTATAAATAAAATGAACTCACATTGTCGATGACAACTTATCTGATACCTATTGCTTGGGACAGTTAGAAATCCATAGACACCACTAAGCTGTAATGTTATTGAGACAGTAGTGGGTGGATTTGCAAGCAAAAAAGTAGGCAATCTTATGAGGAAAAGACTCGATTGATTAACAAAGTTAAGAATACTGACATGCTAATTTTGAAACACTCCAAATAGTTAACTTACCTCCATTATCACTGCCAGCTTTACCATTCACTGATGTATGACCGTTTTTATTTTGATCTATGACATTTGATCCTATTTCTTCTGATTGGTCAGCTTGACCGTCTGTTAGCTGCACAGCACTGTCCTTTAAATCAGACAATAAACTTGTCATATTCCCTAGTTGCATCAATCGCATCTGTAAAGTAAGATAAATGGGATGTCAAGTTGATGTCAAATTGGTAACGCTTTCATAAATAACTATAATCGTATAAATCAAAATTGGTAGTCAACATTGTTTCATTAGAGCGCCTCCACAAGTTCTATGCACTATTTTGTGTACCTTTTAATGACGAACTTAACCACAGAACTTCTTGATCAATGGAGTAGAATGCCGCACCAGGCTCAAGAAATGCAACCTTAGTCGGGAGATGGTAAGTATTCTTATATTCCAAAACCCGACGAGGATGAATGTCTGATTAATGCATCCACATCCAGCTCTGAAACCCGCTCGGTTCCCCCAAATCTGTTGTTCATGAATACTAGTAAAGTTTTGAAGAATTATAGAGACTAGCATTCTAGGCATAATGTTGAACAAACTGCTTTCTTTGTGATTATCACAAGGGGATGTTAATCATTTTGTGTACACTGCGTTGAACAGAGATCGAATCTAAACAGATGAGACTGAACCGAGCTCTAAAACTTTAGTCAGCGTAACTGCTAGGACTGGTGAACCATCTTTAAAGACCTCTGGAGTTATTGTATTTTGCTGATCTCCTTTCGGTTCAAATTAGACATGGTCCTTTGGATCTTCCGGAAGTTTCTTGGGAATAGTGAGTAACTGTAGAGTAGTGAGAAGGAATTTGAACCTTCTATTAGTGTTCTGCCTATTGTCCAAATCTCCTGGACAGTGATTTAGAGTCCCATCATTTTCCGAAAGTTTCACTAATAGTTAACTTGTTTCCTTGATAGGTCAGAACAGTTATCTCGTATTACGTGTACCTGCTACATTTTCGATTACATTTACTTTTATCCTCACTGCTGCTTACGATATTGCGTTAACTTTTTATTAACCTATATTTGAGTTGTTGCTATTCATCGTCTGCTAGGCCTATCGTGTTACTCATGACATAGATTCGAATTACTAAAAGCTTGGTAAATTCTGGTTGAACTTTCGAAAAGTGTAGTATTGAATGGTATGATCCACAGACTAAAGATAAATGAGCATTTACTAGACAACTTATTGACGAAAAATCTCGTACAGAATTATAATGCATCAACCTTATTGTGATAAATAATTTCAGAAGTTAGATAGTCTTATATAAAAAGTTGACATTGACTTACTTGGGTTTGACAAGCAGCTATTACTCGTTTAACGAGATACCATGCTTCGGGAATACTAGAAGCAGTAACTGCCACACCATGATTTCGTAAAAACAACACCTTTGCTTTAGAGCCTAGATCTTTCACAATGCTAGAACGTTCTGCCTCATCTACCAGAATACCTCGATACTCATGATAGCGAACTCCATGATTTGACACTAGTTCAATGGCCTCAGGACTGACAGGCATGAGCCCTGCGCGAAGACACGAAACCTGTAGTCAAAAAATTTGCTATCAAAGTTTCATTGATTTACGAAACTATTAGAATAACTAAAACGGCTGCATTGATCAGTTATTCGTGGTAACGATCTCTTAGTGAAGGTAGAAGAGATTTTTAAAAAATTATAACCCTACTAGAAGAATACATTAACGAATGAGCCCTGTCATCTAAATTCGCACTACCAAACTTGATATTATTTCGTTGACCACAGAATGAATATACGAAGCAAAAAAACAATTGATTACATTCGTATTACTTTACTTTCAGAGAAAACTGCGAAATAATTCATATTTTCTTCAGCGATTCTATAAATGTCAAAAAATATAAGCGATGTGAAGAGTTAATTTATTCTTATGTGTAACGGATAGCAATGCAGCTTATTCATGTAACCAGACTTGCGAGTTTGCTTTGAAAGCAGCTTAAGAAAATTATCCTATGTTATTTTAAATGAATTTCAACTTTGATTAGATGGTTCGTTCAAGATTTTAATGAAGTATTTTTCGAATGGATATGACTTAGGAACGGATTTGAAACCACCAACAATAAACTAATTTTCAAGATCATCGATTACGCTTTCGTTATCAAGATTATTTTCAGTCCTGATACTCAGTCAATAAAATGCGAATGAGATATACGGATTGATATGTCAGATTATTTGACGTATCAAAAATTTGGATATGAGATTCAATACACTGCTACTGTTTTGACCGTGGCGGTAATTCTAACTACTCAAATGAAGCTAAAAAAAACTGAAAATGAACTGGCAAATAAGTACTCTCTTTAATAAGCCAGTCATCAACGTAGGATATGGGAAGAGCGTGCATCTGTCCCAGCTTCCACACCTCACATCTGTATAACGAGAAATTAACCAGATGGGAGCTAAAAAAATAGGAAATAATATACAAAACAAAAAGGTGTTTTGGAAGAAAAAAAATCTAACTGGAGAATAGAAAATTAGGAAGACGGACATCAGATAGCGGACAGATTGGTAAAAACTAGAACGTTTTCTATCCGTGTCAATATTTTGTCAGATACCACACTATCAGGACTGATGTGGTCTCATCAAATTAGTGTGATCAATGCACTCCACTACTTTATTTTCAATGAATAAACTAGGTAGCGATCCAGATCAATCCAGAAGCAGCATTTAAATCTATAAGAGAAACTTACCGCATACATACTTGAACTGTTACTTACCGTCACTTCAAAAGAATCGACTTTTTCACCGTCCTAATATACTTTATAAATAAATTAAAGTAAATGACCATGATCAGTCAGCAAAAATTAAATAATGGCCAAGGAAATATGTCGAGTTTATATCAATGGATTACTGTGCCACTTTATGAATTAGCTAATCAACTACAATTGACCATTTAACACAGAAGATACTCGTAGGTCGCTAGTATATGATTATAGAAAATTGTTGAAATAGTAGGTAGTGGCAAATCGATTAATGAGGAACAAGTACCAACAAACTGGAAATAAGGATTCCTGATCAAAATACCAAAGAAAGGCGGTCTCAGCAACTGGGATAACTACAGGGGCATCACTTTTCTCTCAATACCGAGAAAAGTCTTCAACAGGGTATTGTTAAACAGGATGAAGGACTGCGTAGACGCCCAACTTCGTGACCAACAGGCAGGATTCCGTAAGGATAGATCGTGTACAGACCAAATCGCAACTCTACGGATCATTGTGGAACAATCAATTGAATGGAATTCATCACTCTACATCAACTTCATTGACTACGAAAAAGCATTTGACAGCGTGGACAGAACAACACTATGGAAACTTCTTCGACACTAAGGCGTACCTCAGAAGATAGTCAATATCGTACAGAATTCATATGATGGATTAAACTGCAAAATCTTGCATGGAGGATAGTTGACAAACTCGTTCGAAATAAAAACCGGTATCAGGCAAAGTTGCTTACTCTCACCCTTTCTCTTTCTCCTGGTGATCGACTGGATCATGAAGACGTCAACATCTGAAGGGAAACACGGGATACAGTGGACATCTAGGATGCAGTTAGACGGTCTAGACTTCGCAGATGATCTGGCCCTTCTATCCCAAACGCAACAACAAATGCAGGAGAAGACGACCAGTGTGGCAGCAGCCTCAGCAGCAGTAGGTCTCAATATACACAAAGGGAAAAGCAGGATTCTCCGATACAACGCAGCATGCATCAATCCAATCAAAATTGATGGAGAAGATTTGGAAGATGTAAAAACCTTTACGTATTTGGGCAGCATCATTGATGAACAGGGTGGATCTAATGCAGATGTGAAGGCGTGGATCGGCAAAGCAAGAGCAGCATATTTACAACTGAGGAACATCTGGAACTCAAAGCAACTGTCAACCAACACAAAGGTCAGGATTTTCAGTACAAATGTCAAGGTGGTTCTACTGTATGGGGCAGAAACCTGGAGAAATACGAAAGCCATCATCCAGAAGATACAGGTGTTTATTAACAGTTGTCTACGCAAAATACTTCGGATCCGTTGGCCAGACACTATTAACAACAACCTACTGTGGGAAAGAACAAACCAGATCTCAGCAGAGGAAGAAATCAGGAAGAAGAAGCGCTGGAAGTGGATAGGACACACATTGAGGAAAGCATCCAACTGCGTCACAAGACAAGCCCTCACATGGAATCCTCAAGGCCGAAGGAGAAGAGGAAGACGAAAGTACACATTACGCCGGGAAATGGAAATAGACATGAGAGAAATGAACAAGAATTGGATGGAACTAGAAAAGAAGGCCCAGGACAGAGTGGGTTGGAGAATGCTGGTCGGCGGCCTATGCTCCATTAGGAGTAACAGGCGTAAATAAGTAAGTAATTAGGTAGTGGAAAATCGATTAATGAGGTAGCGAATTTTCATCCACTGAGGTAGTTGAAGAATATACATGTGGTCAACTGCCGCCTACCTCGGCGAATGGTGTACGCTGGTATAGGAGTAGGTTGGAAAAAAGTGGGAGCAGTCAAATCAAAAACCACACTTCCCGATTGAAGGGAAAGGAGGACAACGAGACGACTAGACTCCTCTACTCTTCTCACTTTCCGTTAACCTTCATGTTACAAATAAACAAACGCCATTTTCAGTATTGCTTTCATTAATTTTTAGCATTGTTAAGCACAACTGACAGTATTATTACAAATCAAATACTGACCTTGAACATAAGATGTTGTCTGACCCCTAACCAGTTGACAGCTCAAAAGGTCTATACGATTATCAATTAGTGTCAGCGAGGAGTTAGAAAAGACAAAAAGATGCACAGACCACGTCTGGGATATAAGTATAATGATTGTTGGAGGCAATGTCTGATACAGGGTAACATTTTAGTATGCCACATAAAGAATATGCTTATGGACATGTAATAACTTATAGTGAGCAATCGTGCGTATTAGTCCCATCTGATGACCTTTATTTCCATCTAACATTGTCATAGATGTGTTTAGATTGTAGTCAATTACCACTACCGATCACCTCACAGATCCAAAAAAGAAACTGCAGAGAATTTTCAACCATAAACCCTGACAAAAATGCTTATTCGAAAGAGTATGAAGAAAGATCTTAAAATGTGGGGTTCATTTTTTATCCAATGAATACAAAATGTAGCCTAACAATGAAGAGCTTGAACATGGTGATACATTTTTCAACACAAATACATTAAAGACATGGTGTATACTGAAGCAAAGGAATAAACGAAATTGATTACAAACGTAGCATTAGGCTATGAGAGCAAATTAACACATAAAGTTATGGAATTAGACTATCAGTTAATTGAATCTACACGTTACGCTACCACGAGTGGGAGAATGAGCGAGGAGCTAAAAGCTATCAAGTTGTTATAACTTGTGACCGCCGATTTTAGGGCAGTGACTTATCGATCGGACCAATAATGCGTAAAACAAGTGCGAACAGTCTAGAGTCTTGATTGGTCCTGCTTTCCGCCTAGCTCAGCCAGTTTTGTTTTACTTTACGGCAGCGAAACATGGCCACTAAGAGTAGAAGATATTCGTAAGCTATTAGTATTTGGCCACAAATGCCTTAGAAATATTGCTCGCATCTGCTGGGATCATCGGGTAAGTAATAGTGAAGTTAGACGTAGGGTATTATGGAATGATGGTAAGTCAGTTGTTGAGATTGTGATTCTTCATCGACTGAGATGGTTGGGCCACGTGTTACGTATGCCTGAACACCGATTACCACGACGTACAATGCTGACTAGTGTTAGAGACGGTTGGAAGAAGGTAAGGTCGACCAAACCAAAACATGGCATCAGTCCTTGAAGTCACTAACTTCGGGTCTGAGTCATGTTGGTGGATGCAGACTACTCGGTTGGGGTCCGCGTGACTATCGCAACCAGTGGTTGGAAACTGGATGACATGGCTCAGAATCGAAAACAATGGCGTAGGTGTATACACTCATTGTCTTCCCTTTAGACCGTGAGATTATAACTTTTTTCTACGAACTAATTCTTTTTTCCTGTATCATAGCCTTATATGCAATCTTTCAATTATATATTAATACCATCGAATTAACGGCTTCCATGAATTTGGTGTTTATCTTGTGTTAAGGCGGTATGGCAACTTGAAGCGATGCGTATATTTGTCTGATCCTACGTTGTAGCTGACTGACTGGATTTTCGGACTTTTGTTTGAAGGTAAATAAAGGATTTTAAGCTTCACGGTAATGTGGTTTGAAATGTGTTGCCTCATTAAGTTCATAAATGCAACCAGGGACATTATAATCTACATAACTTGTACTTCTCTTTTGATTTTTCATCGATGTGTCAATGTGAATCGTGAACACTGAGTGAGTTATAAAACTGTAGTAAATTATATAATATTCGTGTTAATCCACTATTTCCATCGTAGGAATTATTTGATTGAACTACATGACGTAATAGTCCTTAGCAATCCTCGATGAAACCTTTAACTTAAAATTAAGAATATTTTTTTCACTTTAAGTCACAACAAAATACTATACAAATTCAGACAACTCACCGCTATTACATCAGCCAAATGAACATGAATAATGCAATTAATATCTTTACGAGCTGAGTGTAGTGCAGAATGAAGAGTCCAACCAGCCTTATTTACACCTAACACTGAGCTACCTTGATCAACTATATTACCTAGAATAAATAAAAAAAACACGAGATATAGATTGATCCAAATAAATATTTTGAAATAAAAACATATATTATAACTATGGGATGATAGTCAGAGAGCAAAAACACACCAAGGCGGAAGTTAAAGTTCACAACAACGAAAGTTCGAGCGATGAAAAACAAAACTACACGGATGAATAATTAGTGGGAAAACACATGGGATAGTCTTTGATGAAAAACTAGCAAAAAGTAAGTAATTCGCTCTAAACAAATATACACAAAGTAAAATCATCTTATCATAAGCACTTTGAGGAGTTAATATTAGTAAAGCACATTTAAAAATGAGGATAAAAGCTATTCTGGTAGAAAACTAATACTTCAAAATCCATCTTATTGTTAAGATATTTATCCAAACTCAATAAACAGAGACAGATGAAGCTGTAGTGATATATTAAGGTTTCGTATGCATATATATGCGTAACAGCATTATAAATGACGGATTATGGAATTAACATTAGTGTATAAATGAGCTAAAACTATGAGTTCCCAAGTAAGTCGTTTACGAATGTATCGAAATACTCGAATTAATTTCAAACTAAGAATATCAAGAACTTCAAGCGTTAAAAGATCATCAAAATTAAAATAAAAGTCCGATTTCCTTTTACAACGGGGCTGTAAGTGATGCGATCCTGGCCAATTGATGAAACAATTGTCTATGGAAACACAAACACCAAGCCTTTTTCCACAAATATTTGTGAATTCATTTTTATCAGTATAGGGTTGTGGAGATTATTAAGTTTTTGATTGAGGTCATGAACTGATAGATGTTAGACCACCATTGAAACCCTGGAATCACTGAACGGCCGTTTCGTCCTATTGTGAGACTCCATGTCGGGTAGAGACAGGTATCTACCTCAGTACAGTGGAAGATGGTCGCGCAATTTCGTGGATTGGTTGAGGTTAGACAACAACACCGCTGGATGCCGACTCAGTGGTCTAGAGGTTAAGCGTTCGTGCGAGAGACTGAAGGCCCTGGGTCCGAATCCCATGAGCGGAATCGTGGATGCGCACTGTTGAGTAGTCCCACAACAGAATGAAACGACCGTCCAATGCTTCCAGGTTTTCAATGGTGCAAATGCAAGTTGTTGCTTCAGGACTGGTCTGCGTCAACACCTGAACTAAGGATAGGGAGTGAAGTAGTCGAACGCGTTGACAACTTCACTTATCTTGGAAGTCTGATCAGCCCTAATGGGTTGGTATCGGATGAAATCTCAGCACGGATTCGAAAAGCTCGATTGGCTTTTGCCAACTTGCGTCACCTATGGCGAAGGCGAGATATCCGTCTATCAATAAAAGGACGAGTATACTGCGCGGCAGTCCGTTCTGTTTTACTTTACGGCAGCGAAACATGGCCATTAAGAGTAGAAGACACTCGTAAGCTATTAGTATTTGGCCACAGATGCCTTAGAAATATTGCTGGCGTCTGCTGGGATCACCGGCTAAGTAATAGTGAGGTTAGACGCAGGGTATTAGGGAATGATGGTAAATCTGTTGATGAGGTTATGAATCTTCATCGACTGAGATGGTTGGGCCACGTGTTACGTATGCCTGAACACCGATTACCACGACGTATAATGCTATTCGGTATTGGAGATGGTTGGAAGAAGGTAAGGTCGACCAAACCAAAACATGGCATCAGTCCTTGAAGTCACTAACTTCGGGTCTGAGTCATGTTGGTGGATGCAGACTACTCGGTTGGGGTCCGCGTGACTATCGCAACCAGTGGTTGGAAACTGGATGACATGGCTCAGAATCGATCACAATCGCGTCGGTGTATACACTCGCTGTCTTCCCTTAAACTAAGAGATTAAAATCGCTTCATATCTTTCTTTCTACGAACCAATTCTTTCTTCTTGTACTATATCTCTATATGCATTCTTTCTCTTATATATTACTACCTTTGACCTAACCACTGCTATGAATCCGGTGTTCATCTTGTTGTGTTGATGCGGTATGGCAACCTGGACCGATGCACATATGTGCCTGGTCCTACGTTGTAGCTGACTGACTGACTGACTAACATCAATCAGTTCATGATGTCAATCAAAAAGCTCATTTTTACTTATAGCTGAGTGAAAATCTATGTAGCATTATTATGGTTGAAAATACAAAATGTAACGCTAAGTAACTCGAAACTGTGAAATTAAAAAGCGAAGAATTCGCCCAAAGTAGATAGGATAATCGGTAAACGATTATACTCAGAGCAAAAAAGAAAAGACATAACAGTCGGGTTTACAGTAATTAAGTCAGACTCGTGAAACCAAGATTACCTTAATACACATGACCATATTATCCATAAAAATCAGTCAATGATTTATATTCATTTCCCATAATATTTTAGAAACAGTACAAAATGAACATTATACACTTTTACGACGAATAGGATGTCTGAAAAATGCATTTTATCTAATAGCTTATTTACATTATACAATCTATTACGAAACTTTCACATTTGCACGGAAGCGAGCCGTCAACACATTTTAAATGTAATATTACATTAAAGAACTAATCGGTCCAAAATTTAGCGTGATCATTACAGATCAAGCGCAACGATTACGGACCTAAACAAATGGAACTTAACAACGATCGTTGCGCAACAACGTGCGCAGTAAAAAAGGACTGGTCAAGACAAAAGAATATTTTATTAATTTTTAAGAGAGAAAAACAAGAATGATCGTAAATCACGTTTTTCCTTAAGATAATTTAACCATGAGAAAGTAAACATCATATCGTTCATTTTTCTTTCTTCACCCCAAATACTTTCTGCATGTGCCTATTCAAAGAGTTTGTTACACGTATCCTTATCTGGAGACCTTAATGCATCGTCATTTGTCTCTACTGTTATTGCTGTTGAACTAAGTACCGCAGCAAGAGCAACACAAATCAATTGGATCCCCACTATCAGTTATTTATGTACCGTAAGATTAGAAGGGCCTATCAGACTGAGAAAAAACTGGCACCATAAACCATAGTTTTGTAGTCGCTTACACCCGACGAATTGTAGCCTGGATGCAATAAAAGTTGAATTTCATCACCAACTAAATGACCTCAGTAAAGCCCATGTATGTCGAGTCGGAAACTTAGTGTAAACGAATGAGCGATCGCATTCAAAAAGGAATTTAGATAAAATCGACCTAGTGTTACACAGAAATCCGTGGGTACTGAAAAATATCTCAATATGTTCTAGGTGAATCGTTTACTTCGCAAGTCCAAACAATAAAAGTGGTTGCATTAAGCCACCTTAGAGCCTTGTCTGAACGTAAGAAGCTAGTCGTCTGTCACTAGATATACAATAGTGAAATTTACATGGAATTACTCACCGTTTGCATCTATTTTTACTAAACTAGAGGCTTGAATTTCATGATAGAGTAACCCGAAAGGGTTAATTAAGAAATGATTGGGATTTGTAGTGCACCTTGCCTAGAAACAAAATAAAACCAGTATTAATAAGCTTTAATAAACAACTAGCATTTAGGATTCATTGTACTTGGAAAGAATATCTAAATAACTTAGTTATATCTCTTATACTATCACCATTGACAATTTCATAAAGGAAAGTAACCCATTAACTCAACTTCACCTTCGAGAAAAATAGCTGTAAAGGACTGGTACCTATCGGTCCATAATGACATCCTGATCGGAGTAAAAGAGATGGTGCAATTCAATGGCTTCAGATGTGATTAGATATGGTTCATGATAGAAGCCAATGGAGAGCTTGCCGTTTCCTTTTATACTCTGAATAAGAATTAAATCTTTTCGATTGAAAAAAGTATTTCTCCATTTTATTGTCAGCCAAACTGCATCTATGTTATACGATCCTTAGCCACTTCTCGTTTTCTGCAAGTATACATCTCTTTCTCTATTGTTTCTTCTCCATAATATATCTATATTTTAAATAGGCCATTCTGTTTTCGGTGCCCAGTAACACGAAGTATAATAAAATAGAATACTGTTTAATTAATGTTGTCACATGAGCACACCATAGTAAAGGCAGATAATGAACAAACGAATTACAAACCACGTTAAATTGTAGCACTTATGAAACAGATAATTTACAATTACAATTACGACTGACCAAATACCGTGACAAATGATAAAGTGGTTCGCTTAGGTTTGAAGACTATGCAACTAGACACAAACACTAAAATCCAAACTGCTTATCAACTTACATCAAAAAGCTACAAATCGTAATACTGACGGTTCATATTCTATCTATTATAAATTGTACTAACTATACACTTAATGCTGATTTCGTCACATACCAGTTTGTTTAGAAAATAGCCTTCGGTGCCATTCAGAAGATAAAACATTGTATCAGTTACTTACAGATATATGGTTATAAATTGAATGCGTCCATCCTCTCATATCGATCAAACGATACAGAGCAGCCAAACTACGTCTCAACACGCAATCCTCCCGAGAATAAGCAGCAGCTTCTTCGCCACGAAGATCATTTATTGGTATTGTTGGGAGGCCACCTAATATGCATAGTTAATAATTGAAAATAAAATTGGCAAAAAAACTATATTATAAATACTACTAAGTGATGAGACGAATCAGTGTATGTGAGCCCAAAAAATACAACAGAACAAAACAACAAAGAAATAGTCACTTACGCTGATAACCAGTACCAACTGATTTGAGTACCTCTGGAAGACAGGTATATATTGAATAAAAAGATAAAGACATTAGGCTCTATCTTATCAAAATTTCATTTTTGTTTCTTACAAATGAGATTAGGAATCTAAAAATATATTTACTTTTTATTTAAATCTTGTTTCACTCAATAAAAATAATGTGAAAATATTAATGAAGCATAATAATCAGGTTTGAATGGCCGAGCAGGACCTCAGGCGACGGACATTGTAATGAATAGTAATGAAAACGTAGACAGTTACCCTACACCAATCAGACGGTAGGCAGAGATTGAATTGTTGCATCTACGCACAAAACTATGTAAACCAGTTATGGTCACAAAGAATACCCCACTAGAATTCCGCAACTATGGGCAAATATAGTTTGATAATAAGGTTAGACTCACTATATCCCAAGGTTTTAAAAAGGGAATAAACTTTTGACAGTTTGCATCTTGAGTTGCTATAACACAGAAAATAGAGATACTGCTTTATAGTGGTTTATTCACTAAAAACCACTGTTCCTTTATAACCTAACACGATTCATGCTATCACAGCCCGCTAGTATAAAAGTAGTTCCAGATTTCAACGTATTAAAAGCCTGTTAGGAACATTAACAAGACTTGAGACTTCCGAACTGCAAGCAAATTAGTACACATGAACCCTAATTTATTCAACACTTAGAATACCTTGTTTAAGTACTTGACTTTCATACAGCTAGATATGAGTAGTGTACTTACCTGATCAGATTAGTTACCTAGATCATCAAACACACCTGCAGCGAAAATTATTCAGATGGTTAGTGTCGACAGAACTCGTACGGATTTGCCCCTTGGGTATAAATAACGAATAGTAATATGTTACATTTTACTCGCCTTTAACCACTTAACAAAATAAAAACCTGAACGGCACTCACACTTTACTTTCTGAACAAACGAATCAAAATATCGCATACTAGGTATCGATAAATCTGTTGTTTTAAGAGCACTTACACTTACTATTTACGATACGCAGGTGAAATGACCAGTTAAACAAACAGGTTATTAAAGTCGATGATGTATTTTGGAAGTATATACTTCAACATTACTGCTATTGGAATACTACATAAACTCACATAACACGTGATTTCGAAGCCAAAATACTAATTGTGGTGTCACAACTAAGCACATATATTGAAGCTTCGCATTGCCCACTGAGCTACGGTAATAACAGAACATTCTTGCTTCAGACAATGGCTGGATTTTGTCAACATATAACTGATTAATTATAAGTGCTTTGGAAGAAAATTGCATAACCAAGAGGTTTGTTCCTTATACTACATGCCTGATTTGCAACTGGATTTTTATGAACTACCTACCCTGCCTAACGATCTACAGTACTTCCTGGTTAAGTATCGTTCGTTGAGTGGATACTCCCACAAGGACCCGAAGTTATATCTGGTTATCCTGTACCATATGAAACGACTGGTTTGGGTGTGCAAAATGCAAGTAATTGAACATTTAATCACCGAAACACAAGTAAGTATAAATTACTCGATGTTTCGAAATGTTGAAGTTCCCTACAGAATAAACGGGTTGGGAGGATTCTCTGTATAGTTTTCATTTCGAACGTTTGTTGAATAAAGCACTAATATAGACGTGATTAATGTACATTTTTGGCATTACGAATCAACATCACTGAGATTAGACAGTGACTCTAAGGTGACTGAGTCAAAAAGACAATCACCTAACTAGTATTTTAAGATTACGAATATATAACATACTAGCTTTGACGAATATATATTAACCGTGTTAAAAGTCTACTACTAAACGCACAAATGAAAAGTAAAATGTACACAGTGTTTCATGGCCAAAAGCACTAACTATTTACATCAAAAATAGAATTTAAATTGAATATAACAGCTCTTACCTTTCAAGTCAGCCACATTTTCTAGTCTCATAGTTTGCCCAAGAAGACTTGATAACTGCTGAAGAGCACCGCCTTGCTTATGGTTACCAGACATCCTGTTAAACGAGCTTATATTCTTTCCTGTACTGTTATGATTTGAAAAGCGATTCTTTAGATTAAGACTGACTTCTTCGTCACTCAAGCCTAGTATTTTCGAGTATAGAAACTATGAACTACCAGATAGACAATTATCACTGAAATCTGTCATTATACTCCACTACTAGATAACCATTAAAATGGTCGGAGCTATGTACTCGGACTAAATCCCTAGACTCGTTCTCGTCAAACCGACGCGCAATCACTAGAGAAACGATGAGACTGGAAAAGCGCGCTTACTAAGTCCAACAAGTATGATTTAAAACAAGCGGAAAGTACTATAGACAACAATGAGGGTTTTGATAAAGCACAGCTTAAAAGCATAAAACTTCCGAAACGTTGATTTAATTAGTTCTTGTCACTAATTGACCAGTAAATTATCCATGAGTTTTTAGTAAAATCGTACATCGAGCAGAAACGTTTCAACATTATAGGATTGTTCAGTGGATTTTAGGCCTTTACACGAGTGTCGCCGAGAATGAGAGACGCGTAAAGATCAAAAAAAGTTATTCACATGTTTGTTTTTTCTTATTGTGTGTCTCTACACTTTCCGTTTCATAATAAACTTTTTATGTAGTAAGGTTCTGCTTGTCTTGTGTGAAACACAAAATACCAACATACCTTAACAGTCATGACAAGGGGATTTAGATTAGATGTCAGTTGAGTGATGCGACCTTAACTGAAGCTGTGAGATAACTCCATTTTCATTCATCTCGAGTGGACTTACCATTACGCTGCAGATATCACAGGTATTTGGAGTTTGACAACGCTTTAACCAGTAACATCTAATATAAAGCGTACCCACCAGGTGAAATCAAAAGACAGAAGCAACGAGGTTTGAAGATATATTTGAAAGGTTATCAATATATCAAGGATCTTCTGATCTAATCTGGCTAGCGATTGCAGGGGTTGTTGAGCACGGTGTTCCCACTCGTGATCTGGTGCGGATGCGTGAACGAGCGCCTTCAGCTAGGTGAGTCCATTGAAACTAATGTGGTCAGCATCCAACGTCGAATATTTAAAGAGCTATTTATTTTGGGGATTTATTTACCGCTACAACGCCGATTAGTTGTTTAGTTCATATGTTGTACAGTCAGTTCCACGAGGTATTCATTTTTGTAGTCAATAAAAAGCTTATAGACCTGAGGTAGCCAACAATTTTTTTTATATATTAGCCTTTTTTACACAATAAAACACGTTTGTAGAGAATCTTTTCTCCCACAGGCAATTCATGTCAAACAAAGAGTAACATATTGGTCTTGACCTTAAAGTGACGTACATGGAAACCGCTGCTGTTTTGAGGCCATGGAAATGTTCACAACCTAACCTTTACTATCAGATGTTGTTAGCCATAAAACTTACTGGTTGGCCAATTTAAGTTTTATCAGAACTATTAAAGTAAGAACTATTTTGGTGATCTATGTTGCACCTGTTTATTGCTTCTGTTATAATGACGTTAACCTGATCCTTTTTATATGCATATCGCTGTCATATGAACTAATTCAGAAAATGTTTTCTGATATTTACAGACAAACAAAAAGTGGATATATTCCTCAACTAAGTCAAATTTTTATAATCAGTATATGCCTGATTTTTCGTGTAAAATATTTATTTACAAAAGTCGTTTTTATTATATATCGAATTTTATCTGAGCTTCTTAAAGATCTTTCAATCTCGGCTTTACAGTATTTCAACCACTTCATCAGAATAAGAGTTTATCGTCAATATCGAAATTTGTGTTGTGCTTAAGATTAATGATCACGTTTGAGTGTGTACCGACTAATTTTACGCCAAATCTTAGATGTCCAAACTTAAATCTTAACCTTGATTTCTAGTGGATGATAATCTGAAACCAATTTCAAAAACCTGATTTATTACGTAGAAATTGTATGTTCTTCATATACGTTATTTTTATTTTCTAAATCATCCACTTCTCATAATCGTCAGCAGAGGGTCAAAGTTCCACCTAAGTTGTGGAATATTATCTAGCTTTGTCGATAATCATCATAACTGTCGCGTGACGTTTTTGATCTACTTACCGGCAATACGGAACTTATAGAACCGACCACCAGCAAACTCAAACAAATTCAATCTTGTTGAAAAAGTTTTACGTCGTATTCAAAATGGCCTTATGGACTGTTTAATGCATCACAGCTTGGGACCTAAACCGCCTAAGTCTGAAAAATGTGCTTTCTCACCAATGCACCAAGTGGAAGATATGAGAGACTATACTTGAAAAAAACTGATACGAATTTACACTCTTTTTGCTCGTCCAACATAAATTCCCAATGGATCGATACCAATGCAAGACATCAAAAAAAAGAATATTCGCATTTATCAAATTGATGAATTTTTGTAGCCAAAAACAGTGAGCTGGAAGATTAGATTAGCAGGTGAGGATCGTGAAGAGTCAGCAACTGCACAAAGCCAAGAATTACTTTAAATATTACAACTTTCCGATTAGTAGAGACATTTTCGCCGTCAAAAATAATAGTTTTGTAACTTCAATCTTTTGAGATGTTCCGAAGCCAAAGGACCCATCGATTAACTTAGCACTTTGACCTCTAAAGTTTAGCTACTTTATGAGATGAAAGTTGGCATGGATGGACCATATTACAAAACCCAAAGTAAAATATTGGTTTTAACTGTGGGTGACTGACTACTCACCAAAAAATGCGAAGTGGATAGAATGACTTATAAATGAATCTTTTTCAGTCCGCCGTAATATGGGTTCACCTCAAGTAGATAATGTGTTATGAATGAGCTGACCATCTGAAACAGTTGGTTGTTATTACAAACATAATTTCCCAGTGCACACTTGTCACGTAAAGAGGCCCTCCGATCTACCTCTTTTGACAGAGGAGGACCTGTGAAATCTCATTCTTACTAACTGTGCACTGAGAGTGTGATATTGAAAAAAAGGAACAAAGGAGCATCAATGAGTTTGAACACAAAACCTTAATAATGCTTGATGGTTTGTTGTGAAACAGACAAAGTTATGATAAATTAGTAGTTAAAATTTATACTAGATCCTGGTACTAAGATGAAATGCTGTCAAACGTTGCCCAGGTAAGAGAGTACAGCGATAAATAATAATAAGTAGTGATGTGTAAAAAAGTGGGATATGTTCGGATGATGGAGGGAAAATCAATTAGAATCAGGAAGGCCTTTTATTAAGACCGAAAGTGCGTCTCAAGAGACTAAAGTGTTTGGAAACACTACTAACTATATCATTTGCTGTCTGGTATATTTCAGCGTAGGAAAACAGCCTTAGTATTGCTGGTTAAGTGTACCATCTCCAATCATAAACAGTCAGAAACAAATAAAACTTTCTGCTCACAAAGCTGGATGTATTAAATTCATCGCCCTCATCATCAATGATTGCTGGCCTTTTTGTGATGTTCTGCTCACTTAGGCTTATTTTTCGGCAAATATTATACCTCACATGATTCTCTGTTCCAAACACTGCTGGAAAACACCATTTCTATAAGTACCGTTTTACAAGATTATCTGGCAGTTACAAATTATGGACTTTCGGTAAGGCATCAGTGCAAAGCATTAAATGACTACAGTATAGATTATGGGTTTCCAAACGAAGCATAAAAATTTTAAAGTGTATTATAGCAGACGAATTTTTACTGAGTTAGGCGAAAAAGTGTGGAAATGTGGTAGTTACAATTAAGGCAATAGGTAGTGAGATGAAATTTGTGGTAAGTCAACCGTGTATGTGGAGGTAGTAAACTGATGAAAAATAGACAAGAAGGAACTCATATTAACTTAGTATTGATGGTATTTTGGTCCTATCCTAACCGAGCTGTCATTTGCAAGTGCTATAGATGTAATACAACGGGTTGTAGGAACGAAACTGTGAAGTTCACTTGACAACTCGTTAAAATAGCAATGAATTTCTTTTCGGGGACATATAGCTACGTAGATATATTTAATTCAACTGAAAAAAGAATAGAAAGGGTGACTAAACTCAGATTTTCATGTAATTTAGACATGAGAGTGTCTACGAGTATGGACTTCAGTGAAAAATTCTCTCAGAACACAAGTTTTCTCAAATCGTCCCTGAATTTAACTAATTTTCCACACGTTCCTAAGCCGGAAGGGTTTCCAAACTTTTAATTTTTGAGGACGAAGTGTCAGAAGCCCGAATATGAGAACCTTGTAGAATCATTCTTCCATATATAAGCAAAAAAGCACAAATAATTCGAGGGAAGATCATAAGGTTTCGAAATCGAGTAGAGCGTTAGAGGCAACCAATAGGTCATCAAACAGACAAACAAAATCTGCACAACTGACAAGCTTTTCGCAAGGTATTTTGAGGGAGATTAAAAGATGCTATAATACGTTTAATGGCATACCTCGATTCAGGTTCAGCGTCAGCAGTAATACGCTCATTTATGCTATTAAACTAACAGATTTAATCTAAAGTTGTAGATTTGTGATGATTTGACTGTCCTAGCTATAAGATTTAAAGTAGAATTCAGATTATTGTCTCTACTGACTCAACTTATCATGCAATTGGCTGAACTGTTTGTAAGATAATTTGAAGGACACAAGTAGGTCTGTAACAGTTTAGGTTAATCGGTTGAGAGTTGACCTCAAATGACTAAGTATATGTCAAAGCAAGTATTTATTCACTTCCTTATTTTTCATAGGCATTATATTTTTTATTATCTTGTATTAAGTGTTGAAAAGCTTTGTTTGTATGAACAGGTAATTCCACGCTCCACTGTGGCCGCGCAAAGATAAAAATAAAGATCTATTCACTACTAGTCTGGTTTCTTCTATCAAAAGAACAAGGTTTACCTATAAGCACGAAACTAGTGAGCCCTATTGAACACAAATTTTCACTTCGCTTTCACTATTAGTATTATTTCATTTAACTACGAAAGCCGTCATCCAGAAGATACAGGTGTTTATTAACAGTTGTCTACGCAAAATACTTCGGATCCGTTGGCCAGACACTATTAACAACAACCTACTGTGGGAAAGAACAAACCAGATCTCAGCAGAGGAAGAAATCAGGAAGAAGAAGCGCTGGAAGTGGATAGGACACACATTGAGGAAAGCATCCAACTGCGTCACAAGACGAGCCCTCACATGGAATCCTCAAGGCCGAAGGAGAAGAGGAAGACGAAAGAACACATTACGCCGGGAAATGGAAATAGACATGAGAGAAATGAACAAGAATTGGATGGAACTAGAAAAGAAGGCCCAGGACAGAGTGGGTTGGAGAATGCTGGTCGG